TATAAACACTGGGGTGCACTGTGAAGCAAAGAGCAGTGCCCAGGCAATTTATGTCAAAATTAACCAAGAAAGTATTTGCAAACCAGTAAAACCAGTTAAGGGTCAAACAACACTTCTCTTCTCATCTAACACCCCGATATATTGCACCCATCTGAAGATCATCCATATTCTCCACATTTCTGTATCCATCAAACTCTCTCAAACATGTCCAACCCCGGCGCACCAGAAAATCACGATAATCATCTTCAGTATAGAAAATCCTCTCCTCAGTATGGACTGGTAAGTGATCTGACTCATCATAGTGGCATACTTTTATGGCCAACCCTAAATTAACAATATAAGAATTCCATTCAGCAATGTCAAACATCTAAAAAGTGACATTACTTGACAACTAAAAACCACATTCTCACAATATAATAATTGTGCACATTTCATACCGAGTAAAAAGTATATAGAGACCACATTATAAGGAACGGGATTTTACATTTCACTCTAATGTTATCATTAGCAACAAATCCAGAAGCATCAAGCTCTCACTGTTTTCCAGTCTCAAAATTTCTTGACCATTTTTCTCTGTTTTAATTATACGTCTTTCTTGATTCTAATATCCTTAATATCTATCTCAAAATGCGTTTTGTTTAATAAAAAAATCGATCTTAACCTTGCCCCATGATCAGTTTTGATATATCCAAAAAAGCAATTAGAATAATGGTATTAAGATACCAAACTGGCCCCAATATCTAAATGCTTGAAGGAATTTGACACTGTAGGGAGTAGAGAATTTAACCTACCTTCATCAAGTTGGAGAGTGTAGTTGCCTAGGGGCATGTCCCGGTCAAGAGTCCGCACAATCTGTTCCTCATCCTCCAGCCAAAATGCACGCTTAGTTCTTAATCCAAAAGCAGACTTGATTGCCTCCTTGATACCTTCAGTGGTGCCATCAATACCAATCCTTCTGGTATAATTCCCAAATTTAACTGATATAACCCTCCCACCAAATGATTGCTCCTCTCCACCTGAGAAAAGTGAAGGAAGAATGAAGCCTAACAAATTTCCAAAGAAATAATCTAGAGCAAAAACTTGAAGTAAATGGCAGGGTCAATAGGGTCTCTTTTGATCACATTCGTCTTGACAAGTCATTATAATGTGAAACAGTGTGCAGTATCACAAAGCACACTTGAAGCATTATGTTCATTGCTTATTGAGAAAATTCCTGCCTTTTAGAGACAAGCTCAAACTTCAAGATTTTAGTCATAATACTTGCCACTTCCAGGTGTTTCCCTCCAGTTCCAAGGAGGAACTCCACTTGCTGCAACTGCATCAGCTGCGGTGATGGCAAGAGGATGCCCATCATGGTCTAGACGTCTCTCAAGATTGAGAGTCGACCTGCCACTAGCTGCACAACCACAAACTTAAACAAAGGAAATGTATAACTCTCTAAGATGAGACAAAGCAGCAAAATATAAAAGTCAAGCATAAAGATGAAAGATTAACTACATAACTAAGAGCAGATGCCTCTCATGATTAAGAGTCAACCTGCCACTAGCTGCAGAAAAACAAATCTAAAGAAATGCAATGTATAATTCTGTCAGATAAAACATACTGTGAGACAAAGCAGCAGACAATTTAAAGTCAAATATATACAGATGAAAAATTAAAGGACAGCTATTTTCCGGAAAAATTATCCTATGCTGAAGAGTACTTTGGTGTAGCCACCTATTCCTACTAAGAAGTTGTATCTTTTAAATCAAAGGAGTTTGAAAAAGAAGTGACCGATAGTCAATGTTGGTTGCATGGGAGCCATGGGAGCTCAATCTAATTATAATGAGGAAATATTTTATGTGAGAGTCTTGAAATTAAACAAATGATAGAAGAGTTTTCTGATACTATTCCTAATGAGTTGTCTAATGAGTTACCTCCCATGAGAGACATCCAGCATGCGCTGATCGTCCCTGGATCGCAGCTCTCTTCCACATCATGGGATAAATCCTAAGAGTTTGACAAGTTAAATAGACAAGTGGAAGAACTTCTATCAAAGGGATTTGTCAGACAAAGCTTGTGTTGTTCCCGCACTCTTAACCTCGAAAAAGGATGGGACTTAGTGGATGTGCATGGATAGTTACATCAACCCTATGGTAAGACCAAAGAGGAGCACATAATAGGTTTCTTTTTCTAAGAACTTACATAAGGTTCTTCTCACCCTCAGGGAGAGCAGTTTATATGCTAACTTGACAGGTATTAATTCAGGCAACAAAAAATGCCTTTCTATGCTTCATTATCTCTGCATAAGGCTAGCAATTAAACCCAATCAAATTAGTCACAATTTAGCCTGAAAAAAAATAAACTGTTTATAAGGTGCATAGCTTTCATGGTTTGATCACATTTTATAACCGATTTATTCAAAATGATAGCTCTATTGTGACATGCGATTTTAATTTGACTCGAGACCCTCTTTTGAAGCATCCAGATTTTTCGAATTCCATAGCATTATTTAGCAAACAGCTTCAAGGAAGTGAAGCAAAAAGTATTTCACTTACGATAAAGAGTATGATGTCGTGACAAGATTTTGTTTTATATTTAGTACCCAACAGAAGTTAAAAGTCAATCTATGCAAGGTAGGTCAAGTTTTTAGGTAATACATTATGTTCTTAAGTTAAAAGGCATAATACTCAACTTTATTGGTGATCTATTCAAGTGGCTTTTGGGAGAGAAACAAGGTGATTGGGATTTATTCTTGTCAATTGTTGACCTTGCCTCTATTACTAGATCAACTAGTATATGAGTCTTTTGAGATTATTCATGGTTATTCCCTTATAGACCTCTTGAACTACTCCAACTTTCCCTCGATACACGAATTCCTGAGCCTACGAAACTTTTCCCAAAACTTTTCTCAAACACCCAAGAACTTACCTTCTGAGATTATGAGAAAGATTACTTTTATATAATATGGGCTATACTTGTACTATGTGCAATCATTGAACTATGGAATTCCATGCAGGTGACCACGTCATGGTGTATTTAACATGAATGATATACTAAAAGTCATGTAAAAGAAGTACATGCCTGAGCCCTTTGCCTTTTCCCATGTAACAATCTACTAGACCTAATGCATAACTATGTGACTCGCTGACTCATGAATATTATCCTATCTTCAATGTCAAATACGAACCTTGACCGTGTCATGATTCATATTTGACATGAACAATATAATACATGTCCAAGCCCTTAGTCTTTCTCCGTGTATCAATCTATTGGGCCTAAGATATAATTAGTTGACTTGCCAACTCATGAATATTAATCATAATTTCAATGTGAAGGATTTTAATTTTATTGAGGTACTTTGGAGCCTCCTTTGTCTTCAAGCCCTCCTATAGAAAAATTGTTGCCTAAATTCTTCCATTATCAGAATCACAAGATGAGACTGAGGCTATCATCAATAAATCAGTTGTTACTTCTCCGAATAGTGGCATTCATCATTATCTAGTAAATGACGTAGAGCCTAGACTACGATATTTCATGGATTTCTGAAGACCAAGTTTCCTAAACTTGTTCCTAAATTTTTTGGAATGGCATCTTCAATCTACCTTACCCAAATTGAGCTCTTTCAGTCAGGGAGAATTATACCCCAGTAAAAAAAAGGCCTTTATGATGAGAAGAAATAGAAGATTCACTATTTCCTCCATGGTTCTATTATTTACTTACATTAATTATTGTTTATTATTTAATTGATTTCCTAAGTACATTCCTATTTCGATAATGTTTTTATGCCTATATAATGTAATGTAGCCTAGCCTAGTGCTACTCGAACTTTTTTTTGGGAAATAAAGTGCTACACCAACTATTTTATGAGTGTTGTACAAAAATTATCCTGACATTGATTGATTATTGAGATTTGGGATCTCCACTCTGGGCTCCTCTTAAATTTTTTTTCATCCCATATTCAAGCTTCCTACATGAATAGCTCTAAGCCATGAGTGCATTTGAGCATCTGAGCACCCTTTAGTTATCTCCTATCAATGAATTTAATTAATTAGTTTTTACTCTTTAGTTGATTTCCTACATGTATTCCGATTTTGATAGTGTTTTTATGCCTATATAGGATTTGTTTCCTATTTAGACCATTATGATTGCTGAGATTCAAGATCTATTTGGGTTCTTTTTTGTTATTATTAGTTTCTTTTGTATTCAAGCTTCCTACATGAACAGTGCTAATGCATTTGAGCATTTTCCTCACTGGATGGTTATAATAAGGGCTTACTACCATTTTAAGACTAAATTTTTTTCCCTTATTAAAAAAAAAAAAAACTATTCCAACCAAGTTTTTGAACTATCAAAGTTTTTAAGTTTTTTTCTATAACCTGCTTGTAACAAAAAAAAAAACCCCAAGATGACCGAATGGGTTAATTCTTAGTACTAAATTTAAAACAAAATTAAAAATGATTTATCACATAGCCCAAAATTATGGGAGCGAACAGTTATTTGTCCAATAAGTAACTACTAGTGAGAATATTGATTAAATAAATTTGAAAAAAAAAGTTTAAGATCATAACAAAGCCCAGAGTGATGGGACTAAATGGTTATTTTCCCTATTAATAAATGCTCGCATCAACAACGACTGTTTTACGTGCTTAACTCTTAGGAGATCCCACATTAGAAATTGGTAGAAAAAGGAGATACATCTTTAAACATAATGGTTGCAGAATAATCTGCAAGCACCACAGGAGCCTGGAATTCAACTGGCAGACCTGCAGCTTTTCAAAAATATCAAAGTTGACACAAGATTCTATTAGATTATCATAGGTTGGTTGCTACATTAGTTTCTCTTGTGAGGACATAACATATTTAAATGGGAGGAGTTTGTAATATCTAGAACTAAGTGCACCTCTAGGCTCCCTAGAAAACTGTTAGGGTCCCTACTAATGCATCTAGTTACGGGTCTGTGACCATAGAAATCAGTAGGAGCAGGGGACTTTTTCTGAGTTTTTCTACCTTTTCCTATCTTGAATTCAGATTAACAGCATGTTAGGAGAGAACCCTAAGATCACTTTAGTCAGAAAGTACTTAATAGTTCATAAAATATTTTATACATAATTCAGTCCAGAATGAACAGCAACCCTCATTCTCGAAGTATTTTTTTTTTAATTAAAATGGTAGTATGGTATTATATTAACAAAGATACCAAGGGGGTACCGCCCATATACAAAGTATCTTTATTCTCAAAGTTATTTCAGATTTTGTCCTAATTACCTCTTGTCTTTATCTAAGACTTATTCCCATACATAAACACTTAAATCATTTTTTTTATATATAAAAACATAAACATTTACATAATATTCCAACTTCCAACATAATAAGAATAGTAGCTCTAACATAAACAAACATTTATTTATTATACTACATATCTAATTATTACACAACTTCTTCCTTCTCTGATACACCTTATCAAAATGTGTAACCAAATTCTGGTTAATTGAGTACTAACAGACCAGCCATATTCAGCTTGCCATCAACGAGAAGGCCAAATTAGGGAATTACTATCATGTTACTATCTCTGGAACTGTTCGGAGGGTTGCCTCATTTTCAATCTTAATGACTAGAAATTCAGCAGCTGGCTAATCTGCTAGATCTCTTGGATACTTTACTTCTTTGCATGGAGGATAAGGTATCGTAGAAGCTGACTAAAATTAGCTCCTTCTCAGTAAGCTTATTATCATGCTTTCTTCAAACAAGGTTCAGTCGTGAATAATTTCCCCGAAGGCCTACTTGGAAAAGCAATCCTTCCCTCATTATTTTTTACTTTTGTTTGAGAAGCCTCTTAGGTGGTCGCATTCAATGCCCACTTTATATGCTTGACAACAAATTACCCTAACCATTGTCTTGTATGGTGTCATCAGGGGAGAACGTTATACAATTTGGCTCAATCTTTCGGGAACCTCGTGGACTGTCAGTTGGTCCATTCTACCAGTACCATTTACTTGAGAT